TAATACTTTCCTGTTGGGCAATTCAGGATATAAGCACCAAATTCTGATACATCTTCAGTTGTTTGAGTCTGAGGAAAACTTTTAATGCACAGCATCAGTTTTATATGTAAATGTTTGGCAATCATATTGTTTGAGTTGTGTTCATGCAAATTTTATATGTAACTGTCTGGCAATCCCATTTTCTAAGCAGTTTTTGAGTGAGCGTGAGATGACACCAACTGAGAAAGAGAAATTCAAAGAGAGCATGCACCAATATTACACTATCACTGTGAGATCATTTGATTGTGAATGTTGGCAAGCAGTGAGTTTGCCACATTTTGTGGCTTGATGAGTAAGCCACTTATTTTGGGGCCTTGAGGGGCTTAGTTAAGATTGGGTGGTTGGGAGCATTACAAATGGGCAGGTCCTTTTTGTGCATCAGGGTGGGTATATTTAAATGTGACTTCATGAGCCTTTTATCTAATTGCAAATTGTCACAAATTAATGTCACCAGAAGGCAGATGACACACCCCTCAAAACATAGCTCAGGATGGTGATAAAGCTGTGTCACTGGCAGAGACATCTGCCAAAACCTTGATGATGGTGTACGGTCTTGCAAGGATATCTTTGTACCAGGTCTCCATTGACTCAGTTGTGTTCATTATGGCGGCAGGGCTGGCCTTCACCATCTCAGGGGTGACCAGGTGATTTCTTCCTAATATTCATAGCTGAAAACCATTTTTGGAATTACAAATCTCTTGTAAAGTGGTCCAATTTTGCATTACTATAGCTCATTTTGTAGCCCTTGTGATACTGACCATTTATTACCCCAATATGACCTATTTCTGATACATGATGAATCAGTTATTGAGTTGTAGAAATTGAGAAAATAAGCTTTTGTCATGTAAATGTTGCATTACATGTGTATCATTATGTAAGCGCCAAATTCAAAATGCACTCCATTTTCTTTGTTTCCTTATAAATTTTTCACTACAGTCAATCTAGGATACCTTGTCCGGTTGAGTTTTTAAAAAAAAAATCACAGCCAATGCAGGCTAAGTTATGAGCAAAGCCTTCAATCTAGATTCACCTATCTCAATTGAATTTGGGCTGTTCACCACAGCTCACCACCTCTTCCATACCCTCAATCCCACCCAGATTATACTCTCAATCCCACCACAACATACCAACAACGATTCCAAATCCACCATGGGTAAGCGAGCCACCACAAAAGAACTTCTCTCAGAAGCTGAGAAGAAGAGACGTAATGGATTGTAAGTTCCCAAAACCAATGTTCTTGTTTCTTGTTGATAATGTTTCACTCACCAATGGTTTCTCAGAGCAATACAACAAGCAAGACAAGCTGAACCGGAGGGGCTTAGCCTGAAGCGTGGCAGAGAAGGTACCCCTGTCCTCTTTCATAAGTAAGTCTATCTCTTGTTTCCTTTCATCAAATCCAAGTTGTTTGATTGCTGATGACCTCTGCTTTGTTATTGCAGAGATGGCCACCATTATGAAAATGTTACATGCGGCCCCCATCAATATTGCAACTCAGAACCGGTGTAGAACTCCTACGCTGTGTGGCGTAGGCTGAGCCAGAGAGGGGATGAGATTCCACCAATGAAATAATGATGGAACTCAAGCGCGGTGAAGCTGCCCTCAACCTATGAAAATGAAGTTCAGAAAATAAAAAAACAATGAAGCAATTCTAACAACTTTAGGTCTTGATGTGTATTTCCGTGTAAAACCTTGTTGATCCTTTTTTCATTCACAACTACTAATGTAACAAATTAAAAAAAAACTTCCAAAAATATATTCTACGTAAACCTTGTTTATCCTGCACTTGTAATCCAAGGTATCCTTGGATGCAAAACCTCGGACAGAAGCTTCCCGAGGTTTTGATCCAAGGTAATTCTCAGGGCAAAAAAATACCTTGGGCAAAAACGTTAGACAAGGTTTGTCCGAGGATTTGCCTCCGATGATGCCTCAGATTTCTCAACCCAAGGCATCTATGCTGGCAGTGCTGGTAGATGAATGCACAATGTATGGCAAATCCTGGCGGTATGCTGTATGAAATTGTACCACTACTCTAGACAAAGATAATCAAGTTTCTAATTCTTATAATTTCCTCAAACTTTGTAATAAAAAAATAAAAAAATGATTTGAAGTGGATTGGAAGTTGTGACCAGGGTCAGGCGGGAAGCCCTGATAGAAAAAAACTCGAAAATAAAAAAACCCAGCCCTGGGACCCAAATTTCGATTTTAAATAAATTAAAATAAAATATAGCACTTTGACTGACAGCCGAGCTCAGCAAAAGAAAAGACAACAACAACTTCAATAAAATGACTTGATAACACTAAAAAAACCAAAGGTATGCCAATCTCTTCTAATTCTCCTTGTCTCTGTTATCAAGGTTAAACACAAAAATACAAGTAAGATAACCTTTCTTTGTCTCTGTTATCAAAGAAACCTCTACTAACTAAAAAACATTTTGTTCAACAATTCTAGGACCCATAACAACCACCAACACTATCAAAATGATGAAAAGAAAAACCACAATGATCCCATGGATGGATCTAAAAAAAAAGAAGAATGATTCCACACACAGACAAAAAAACGAATGAGACAGATAAAACAAGACAGATACTTTCAGAAAACCTCCTACAAGATGATCAATCCTTCCCTCTTCTTCCCAACTTTGATTCCATCTCCGATCGGACTTTCTTGCTCAAATCACACTTGTCATCTTCCCCTCCTCTCTCAGCTTCAATTCATTCTGTTGCATCCTTGGTTGTCTTTAACAAGTAGGTGATTTCCTTTCTTTCTTATACTATATTTCAACCCAAACTAACAAACACTCTAACATCTACTTCTTCTTTCCAATCTCCACTTTCTCTTTTTCTTCTTTGATCACACAGCTTTCTGATTTTCAACTTCGATCTTGAGCTTTTATGTAAGTAAGTTCTTTACTTTTCTATCTATCTTCTTCAATCTCTCATTGTACTAACTCTATCTGTTCTTTTCTTGAATTCTTCTTCTTTAGATCTTAGCTTCCTCCATTTCGATTTCAACTGTTCATTCAATTCAAATCAAACAATCAAGACCTCAAATCACAACTTTACTATCTCTTAATCCCTTTTAGCATCATCAAATTGAATTCAATCTCAGCTTCTTTCCATCTGGAATCAATCACACCCCTAATTTAGTATTCAGTTTCAATTTTGAGCTCTGATCTTGATTCTGTCCTATGAAATCTCAGTTTTTTCATCTATTATGTAAGTTGTTCTATTTTTTTTCTCTGATCTAAACTATTCTTTATTTCCTTTGCTTTCTGATTTACTAATGTTTGTTTCTTAATTCATTGTTCTTTAGATCTTAAATTCATTAAATTCGATTTTGACTGTTCATTGAATTCATTTCATTTTCGATTTTTGGGGTCTTTGAGGACCCTGGAAAGCTCCTGCGGAGGTCCCTGATGAAAATGGTCAGGTTTTGGCTCCAAAATCCGCCAAAGTACCTAACAAAAATGGTCAGGTTTCAGATTTTTTGGAAAAATGTACCTAATGAGAATGGTCAGTTTTTGCCGACTTTTGGATTTTTTTTTGGAAATTTTAGCTGGGTCAGTTCATGGTCATGATTTGCTTGGGTCAGTTCACGATTGTGAACTTTCTGGGGTGGTGAACTGTACGGTTTATGATTGTGAACTGTACTAAAATTTACAGGCTGGAGTAGTTTGAACAAGTTTGAAGGACTAGCTACTATTATGTAAGAACTATCCAACAAGTTCCATGATAGTTTAAAATCTTTTAAGAATGTAGAGTAGTGTAGAGTACATAGAGAATAGTTTGATCAGTGATGTAGTTTGATATATTTGAAATTTATGACAGTGAATTATGACAGAACTGGCAGAACTAGCAGAATAGTGAGAAGGTGGCTGAGGAGGATATACGTAAATGAAATATCATCCTGGATGCTTTTGTTGGAATAAGTTGTGTATGGGTCAAAACCAATGAAGGTCAAAGAGACATGAATCAATCAAGTATAGTGTGGACAGGAGGAATGGTGTTGTGAACATATCAAAATGAAACACATGAAGTTGAAATTAGGATACATGGATAAGGGGTAGAAATGTTGGAAGGTTTGGAATTGGTGAATGAATCACATTTAGGAAGTATTGGAAGAACTTACCGGATTTGGATTGGTAGTTGATTAGAAAGTGGACGTGTTGTTTCTGATTACAGTATTATCATTTTGATGATTTCTCTTATAACCACGCCTCTCTTCACATTTAGAACTTTTTCCCTCATTGAGGAAAAAGATTCTAAATGTGAGTTATTACCAATTTATTATTCTCTTCTTCACTGTCGTACTAAGAACTCTACTGAACCGATACTTGATACACTCTAATGTTTTTCTTCCTCACTCCATTCCTTTTCTTTTACTTTCTATAATTTTTCTCTATTAGATTATCATCCATAATCCTCCTTGTCCTGTTTTCAGGTTTGTTTGAGTTTAGAACTCAGTGTCTTTTCTTCAGCCTCAGTGTGTCTCATCAACACAGGCTGATAAGTTTTGTGACACCTTTATAAAGGTGTGTTGTATGATGCTGTAGTCTTTTCTCTTTTTGATATTCCCTCATTGAGGAAAAAGATTCTAAACATTATCATCCATAATCCTCCTTGTCCCGTTTTCAGGTTTGTTCAAGTTTAGAACTCGGTGTCTTTTCTTCAGCCTCAGTGTGTCTCATCAACACAGGCTGATAAGTTTTCTGTCACCTTTATAAAGGTTTGTTCGAGTTTAGAACTCGGTGTCTTTTCTTCAGCCTCAGTGTGTCTCATCAACACAGGCTGATAAGTTTTCTGTCACCTTTATAAAGGTTGTCTTGTCTGTTTGTTACGTAGCTTAGTGTCTCGTCAAACTCGTTTTCTCACAGCTTTTCCTCCTGTGCTTTCAGAAGTAAAAAAGTTCTTCCAATCATAGTTATTATTGTATCTCCTCCTTGATCATTTTTATGCCAAGAATGTTGTCTGAAAACAATCTCAACACTGAGCCAATTATCATTGAAAGTGACGAAGAAGATGAAGTACTAAATCAATCACCCAAATCAAAAGACAAGAAAAACAAATCAATAGTCATTGAAAGTAGCAAAGAGGATGAGCACCCTGTTCCCTCGTCTAAAAACAAACAAAATCCTACACTCACCAAACCCAAAGCTAGCAAGCAAACAGATCTGCTTGCTTTGTGTCCTTTATCAACACCGGATGTGCCCTGTGATCGATGCAAGGTGGAGAAGATTGGAGGTGACAAAGTTTTCCGTTGTCATTGCGGTGGAAAGTCTAAGACTTTGAAACAAGGCCGTACAGCAAAGGCTGTGGAGCATTGGAAAACGGGTTAGTTGTTAAGGTTTTTTACTATGCATATTTCCTCCAATCAAGTCCACGAAATCACTTTACTAACCAGATTCATCTTTGATATTGCAAATATATCAGCATCGTGTGTCCAATCCACTGAAAGGATGTCAAATAATACAAGTTTGAACATGTTCTTCAAACGTAAAGTGGCCGATCCATCATCATCAAGCTACAAATCTTGTGTTATCGAAACTACCTGCGCTGGACTTTGTGACGCTACCTGGGAGCGGAAACGTGCAAAGCAGTCAATTGCACAATTCATGGAGAGGAGCTGCTCTATATATCGTGGAAACCAGCGATATGTGATATGCCAAGAGCTGTTTGGTGCGGATGCAAGGGAAGTTAACCTGACAGCAGATCAGAAGGCTCGCCTAATTGCTGCTCTCGATTCTCGTTCAACGTGGAAAGTAAAACAACACTCCAATTGCAACGCACTCTACTCACCATCTTGTCTAAGTACTATACCAGTAAAGTTTAGCAAGAAGAACGAGCTGGTTGTCTGTGATGAATGTCAGAAACTAAAAGGGCTGGGAAGCAACCCTGGGCCAGCAACGCTCATGTTGCGCGCTGCGTTGCGCCACGTTGCGGCTTTTAGCCCCCGTACCGCAACCCAGATCTCAGAACCGCGTTGCGGAAAAAACCGCAACGCAGACGAGGGACTGCTTTAAGTTTTTTTTGAGACCACAACACATCCTGAAGCGTGTCGGACTTAACCGCTCTGTTGCTGGTGTTGCGGGTCGGGTCAGATCTTCTGAGCTAACCCCGATTAGGCAGTAGTTTCCTGTCGTTGCACACCAATCATCACGCCATAACCCAAAGGAGACTCCTTTGATATGCACTCGTTTATCTGGGACAGGGCCCAGCCAGGGGGAAACTGGCTGGTTCTCCATAAAGAGGACCTCCTGTCTGGAATTCAGAATGTATGTCCGTCTCATTTTTCTGGTTTTTCTAACCTTTTCTGACACTCAATCGCTGAACTGTCCTCACTGCCAACATATTTGGCTCGGATACCAAAATCCGAGGACTCCTCGGATTTTGTATCCGAGACATTCACTGACTTATATCAAGCGAGACATCACCGACTTGATGCATACGATATAATGCATCTGATTTAATCATCCGACCATTCACCGAGGCTATCTTGAACCGACATTTCATCCAACTGAACCCTTCCGACCATTCAGCGACCCACTCACTGACCCAATTGCCTCATCCGAATCAACCCCACCGAGTCATCAACTGACCAGCAATTTGGATTTCCGAGGTATGAACATAAGGATAAGTCGAATTACCTAGTTAGTTACTTCGGAAGCCACGGTTCCACCCGACTTGATGCTCTTTTTGACCAAGGTTTCGAAGATCCAATGCGACTCAACCTATCTTTCCACCGACCCAACTCAGCTCTCCACTGATCTTAATGTACACTTCACCAAGCCAAGATGACCACCATCCGAGTGGAATCAAACAGAGTCACCTTAAGTATTGATACTTAACACCCTATCTGTTGATTCGATTCCAGGTTTTTTCATCTTGAAAACAAGCCAATCACTCTACACTTCAATCTTAAACACTTCAATCAACCTTCATCCACATCTAGTGTAAGTTTTTCACTCTCAATCTTTTTGGTCCATCTCTTGTACCAAAGTACTGATAGATAACAGTCTCTTTGTTGGTTCGCTTCTAGGTCAATTCATCATACACTATTCAATTTTCCAAATCAAAACTTCAATCACACTTCAAGCATATTTCAGGCAAGTTTTTAACTGTGGGTTCTTTTGATATATCATTCCTAGTGAAGTATTGATAATTAATAGTTGTCTGTTGATTCGATTCTAGATCAATTACTTTCAAAGCAAAATCCCAGACCTTCCAAACTTCAAAAACAACACACCTCAATCAATCTCCAACCATATGTATAGTAAGTTTTTCACTTGAAGTTCTGTCAATTCATCTATTATATTGAATTATTGATCATGACTGCTGTTTCTGTTGAGTCGCTTCCAGGTAATCCATTCTTACAACAAATCCAACCTTCTCCAAACTTCAAAACCAGAAAGTTGAATCAATGTTGGACCATCTGCATAGTAAGCTTTCCACTTGGACTTCTGTCAATTGATTGCTTATAATCAAGTGTTGACAATCAATGCTATCTATGTCATTTCGCTTCTAGCCTCTTTCATTTTAAAAACAAACCCAACACTCAATCCATCTCCTGATTTCCTACCATAGTTGATTGATCTGACTTCTTCCAACCCATCCCTTGTACTTAAGTTTCCATAAATGATATTCTTTCTGTTTGTTTTGGTTCTAGGTTAAATGGTTTTACAAATAAACAAGTACCTTCTACACTCCAGAATCAAACATGTCAATTGATTTCCAACTACATCCAAAGTAAGTTTGTGATTTGGATTTTGGAAGGCAAGTTTTACACTCTGACTTCTTTTGATACATCTTTCATACTAAGTCTTGACTAGCAAATTACTGGTGGATATCACAGCCCAAAGATTACATTTTGCCTTGCTGAGTTGGAGATAAGTGCATGTATGTATATTGAAATGTGATCTCAGATTTGGATGTCAAAAATTATTCTATGGTAGAAGAAAAACTTGGTTGATGAGTTTACTTTCTATTGATACAAGATATTCAAAGTTGTACCCAATACACATATTATTTCAATTATGATGAATGAAGGACTTGAGGCCTTAGGAAAACATAGAGGCAGTCACATGATGATTTGAAACATGTGCTATCAAACACTTGATCAATTAAAGACAAATAGTCATTTTTGCAGATTTTACAGATTGCATGGATTGATGAGTTCTTATTGAACACATACAGCTCAATTCTATGTTTGTATACTGCTTTGTGTAATTAAGACACTGTAATCTTACCATTTGAAGTAGATATATGTTGATGATAAAACAATACAAGTCAGCTTGATGAATATCAATTTTCACTTGATTTATTACTACCAGTAATATCAGTACCAATAAGACAAGGCCGTTTCTATTTGCAGCCCACACAAAATCCATGTAGGCGCTGCCAAAACAGCGCCTACATGCCTTTTTCCCACAAAAAAGCGCCTACATACAGCCTGTAGGCGCTTTATCCCTTTTCAAATGACGCCTACAGGTTGGAAAACCAATGCAGGCGTCATTTGTATACGCCTACAGTCGAAAAAATGAAATGTAGGCGTCAATTTGAAGCGTCTACATATGTGGGCGCACGGAAATTACGCCTACATTTTATTTTTTCGACTGTAGGCGTAATTTGGGTGCGCCTACATATGTAGGCGCTTGAATTTTACGCCTACATCCATTTTTTTGCATGTAGGCGCATTTTCTGAGCGCCTACATTTAAGATTTGACATGTAGGCGGGTGAATATCACGCCTACATGCAGGAAAATCCATGTAGGCGCACGGAAATTACGCCTACATTGCAAATAAGGGATGTAGGCGTAATTTCCCACGCCTACATGGATTTTCCGGCATGTAGGTGTGGGAAAAAAGCGCCCACTTTCCTAATACAGCCATGTAGGCGTCATTTCTGCGCGCCTACACGTGTGTGTACGTGGAAGTTTGGTCAAACTTCACGTACACATCCACTGATATAGAGGCCCCTTGGCTCCTTTCCCCCCTTTTCCACTCTAGAACACGGACTTTGAACTTTTTCAACCCTCCACCCTTCAAAAAAACATCAACTTCTCAGTTTTAAAGCTAGTCACGCCAGGATTTCCCTCTTCACATCAAATTAAAATGAAAAACAACTTCAACAACAACAACAACCAAATCCCTACGGGTGATTTTAAACCTTTCAACAATACCAATCAGATGAATAATAATAACAACAATTTCAACAGTTTACAACATGATCAAATGAATAATATAAACAACAATTTAAATCAAAACTTCAGTAATCAAATGATGAATAATATGAATCATATGATGAATAATAATAATCATATGATGATGAATAATAATAATCAGATGTTCAATAATCATAACAATCATTTATTCAACAATAATCAACAAATGCAATCAAACCATCAAGGTTCCTTAATGATGAATCAAAGTAATTTAATGAACAATCAAAGTAGCTTATTGAATATTAATGATGGTGTTATTAACACGGATTTCAACACTCAAACTTTATTGAACAATAATAATTCCAACTTTAACACTCATTCATTCAATAATAGTCATTTAAATTTACCAAATCAAACTCAAAATACCTTAAATCAAAATAGTATGAATCAAATTGACAATAACACTTTAGGAATTCTTTTGAATATGATCAATCAATCAAAGATGAATAATCCTGTTCAATCAAATTTTAATTCCGTCAATCAAAACCTTTTAAATTCTTCAAATTTAATCACTTCTTCTAATTCAAATTTCAGTTATAACAAATCAAATAGTAATAATAATCAGATGAATGATTTAAATCCGAATCTCAACAATTTCACTCATCCAATTCAGTCAAATAATCAGATGAATCAGAATATTTCCATTCAACAAATACCTGACAGTGAAATGAATTTAAATGAAGATAATCAAAAGTTTCATACGGATTTTAATCAGAATGTAGTTTTGACAACTCCACCTTCCAAAAGAACTTCCCATTCTGTTTCAAATTCAAATTCATTTCAAACTGCTCCCTTATCACTTCCACCTCAAAAACCTTCTCCCTTTTCCAAAGTTCAATTAGATTTAAATCACGGAGATGAAATGGATTTGGATTCAAAGCACGTAGATCATGAAATGGATTTAGATTCAGATTTAGACGCAGAAGGTTCAACAGATGATGGAAACAATGAAGACTTTATTTATATTAATAAGGAATACATTATTAAAGATCCTTTCAACAAAAAAAATAAAACTTTTGGAGACGATAAATTCAGTGAAGGTGAGTTTCAATTTTTAATTTTTTTTTTTACATGATTGATAATTCTTCATATTAATATGTGTTTTTCTACGTGTTTTA